GTTTATTAGAAGGGAACAAACTTGGTAGAGATGTTAATAGGAATCTATTCTTATTAATTTCTCTTCATGCCATAGGGTTTTAAGATAGGAATTTTGAAAGTAATAATATTAAGGAGTTTGCGTTGTCAATCACCAGGATCAAGAGTTGGTAAAGCTAAGTAAACTCGCAGTTAGAAACAATCATCTGTTAGGATTTACTCTCTGAGATATAGGATGAGAGTAAACCACTATTTGGACCCTAACAGGATACCATATAACTCGTCATCTAGATTCATAATGATACTCTTCTGTCGGCTTCTAAAGAAGAACGTCGAATTACTGAGGGAATGGAATGTCGGTACCATGTATAAAGAAATGCTATAGCTTTTTTTGGGTCATATATTCTTTTAGGGACTCTTCAAACGCTCTCTTAAGATCAAGTTGTTAAAAAGTTTTATGCTAATTTGATAATGCCTATGTTGGAGAGAATTGTCGACTAGTAGATAAGAGTCTATTAGAAAACCAAACCTAATACAAAGTTTTATGAATTCAGAAATCGGATGTAGCTGGATTTATATTAACTAAAGGACACCGGATAGAGCGTTATAACACCCAACCTTTTGCAGGATATGAAGAATTCACAGCTAAGCCGAAGATCAAACGCCGACTGTGATCAACAAAATAAAGTGCATCCTGAATAAAAGGAACTATAGTTAGAGACAAGGCAAGAAATACCTTAGGTAGCTTTGTAGAATTAGAACGATAGATAAAGAAAGGAAACAGGAAGTTTACTAAGTAAGGGGAGGAGACTTGACTATCCTGGAGTCTGATTTGGCGCTATAAATTGTCAAATGACTTAAGAGTATAGCTCACACAACACACCCTCATTTATGCACTAAAACAACCCTCAGAATTTTAGGAACCTACGCAAGTTTATTCATATTAAGAGAAGCTGTGACCATATCCACTTTCCTTCTTGCCTCAACTTTAATCGAATACATGCGTGTAGGAAAAGCATAAAGCAGTTAACCAAATTATGGAATGCTTTACTAAGCTAACAAATTAAGGTATAAAAAGTATGCAGAATCTCACTCTGCCGCCTTCTCTAGCTTAATCTTTTATTCATATTCTTCGAAACCCAGTTTTTCTACATATATTTATGGTTATTGGTCTTTAATACTGGCTTCTGGCTCTAAAGATGTCCGTAAAATTATGGACAAAAGCTCAGCATGGATCGCAGGACGGTGAAACGATCGCACAAAAAATGTGAAATAGCATGAAATCGTTTCAAAGGCAGTCTTTAGAGGAGTAGAGCTTTTTTTTCTGAATGTCCAAATTATATATCCATGTAATAATTCATGTCGAATTGAATAAAAATGTATGATATTCAGCCTGGATTCAGTGTGAAGCGAAATTAATGCAAGTGGTTATTTTACAACTAATTAAGTGGCGAAAACGTTGTCTAAAGTGGTTTGCATTTCGAAGGCTTAAATACAATATTAATGCAGTAAATAGTACTGTTTACCTTATTTACAATAAAACATAACTATAAAGTTTCATTCGTTTACTTTTTAATTTCTACTGCTGTGCCTTTTAAATTACTCGTAACGCTTTGCGCTTTTTACATCATCCGGCTCGTCTTGTGCCTCTTCCCTCACTGTCCTTCATGTCTTTAACTAAAGGTGTTCTCAGGTATATTGGTGTAAATTCTTTATAATTTAAGTTCTTTACCATCTTTTCGACAAGGGCTTCGTTGTTATGTCACGACAGATAATGTGCGAAAACATTATAAACTGGTTATTGTTGGGGGAGGTGCAGGCGGCTGCTCGGTATCAGCGAAAATGTCTGGCTTTATTTCAAAGGATGAACTGCTAGTAATTGAACCATCAGATGTAAATTTATTCCCTTAATTGAACTTGCGCTTCTTTTCTATTGATTTATTGTGAAAAGCATAATTTACATTGGCTAGACGCACTACTACCAGCCTCTATGGACCCTAGTTGGAGCTGGAATCAATTCCTTAAAAGATTCGATGCGACCCACTCATGAGACTCTCTCTCCTGGTGTTAAATGGCTAAAAAGTGCACTCGCCAAACTTATTCCTGAGGAAAACAGAATTTTGACGACCACAGGCGATGAGGTACTTGATTTCTCGCTATATTTTACTTTGTGTCATTTGAAAATGTAATTGACTAAACTTTAATTTTGTTTATCTTTAATCTTTTTATTTAGATTACTTATGACTACCTCATTCTTTCACTTGGACTTGACATACGATTTGATATGGTATGTTCCTAATTACATATCAGTTCATAAATATCAATTTTCTCCTTTAGCTACTTTATAATATATTTTAGATTAAGGGTGCTCCTGAAGCTTTGCTGAAAGATCCTCGCGTCTGCTCCAATTATTCTAAAGATTATGTAGAGAAGACGGCTTCTGCAATTAAAGCATTTCAATCAGGCCATGCATTATTTACATTTCCCTCTGGACCAATAAAGTGTGCCGGAGCTCCTCAGAAGATAATGTACCTGTTTGAAGACAAACTGTCCCGGGTAAACTTATTTAGTTTACATGCTAGTCATACGTAAAAGTAGCATTGTATGATGTACCTTCGTGTTCCAATGTATAGCTTAACTTCTCGTAATTGGTTGCAAAATTTCTTATAGATTATAAAAAACTTTTGGCCAGTCGGAGTACTCTGGTTTGTCTGCATGATCCTCTCTAATGGATGAAAGGACATGCATTTATGGCCATCTCGTTGTTTCTTTATTTTTGCAACCAACCCGTCTATCTAGGCGACCATACCCGAGGCCACAACATCTTGGTCTTCACATCTTCAATTTAAAATTTAATGTTTAAGAGCTTTTTTCATCTTATTTCATTACATCTTAAACAAAATAGAGTGAATATAGCTCTAAATTCAGATCTACTGGGCGTCTTGAAAATCTCTTACGAAACTTGAAATGTGGTGCAGTCGATTAGAGTACAAAAAACACCTTCGCTTCCTCGCCAATCGCATTACAGAATGTAGTATGGGAAAATGCCTGGCCTTCCCTAAAATTCAAATCTGCCCTATGACCTAAGGACATTCGTGAAATTGTTGCCTAGTGATTGACGTGTCCAGAGTATATGTTTCACTATCACAGCTCTAGTCCCATTGGAGGTGCTGAGGCCTATGCGAGGTCTAAACGGTGGTTTACACTGGATTATAATACTCTTTACGAAGCAAGGCTACGTGAAATTTAATATAAGGCCTATTCATACCACTGGGAAAATTTCACTACCATTCCTTCATCACCTTAAACAAAATGGAGTGAATATAGCTCTTGTATGAGAATTACATGGAGTCTCGAAATACATCTCATGAAACGGAGACATAATATTCAAGAAGTGGATTGTCCTCGTTTACGCAACTTGTTCTTGTTGTCAGGGCGACTTGGTTAGACGAACCTTGTCTGAAGTCCTCTGCTATGGTAGTTATAATTCCCAGCGTCAGACCGTGGATTAGGTACATGCTTGGACGTTTAGCCGACATCATTCGTAAGTTGCCATTTTCAGCACCAAGCTACAACTCGCCATAGAGACAAGTGAAGTCTATCCCTTGACCAACTTTTTGTAGATACCGTCCTTTTTTCTGTCCTGGTCCATCTGTTTAGTTGCCTACCAATCCCACTCCCGCCCTATAACAACTTCTGACTTGTTTACATCCCACTCGTCAAAATATGTGCCATTTTTGACAAGTTTAGTGTGGCTTCATCACCTGCTTTTTAAATCGCCCCCCTCTTTTAATGGGCTAATCTATTTTGGGCCTCCAATCCGTATCTCCCTCGTGGTCCCATAGATCTGGTTGGCTGATTTTACCAAGTTTCTATGTCAATGTACGTTTTACTTCAGGTGTTATTTATAAAGCCCTTATAAGCATGTACACTTTCCATGTAACCAAGCAAAGCGCCTAGGCTCTGATTCCCATGCTTGCAGATATTAGGCATTGCCTTCACGGTTCTTTTCCTTGTTTAAACTCGTGTAATCTGAGCAAACTGTGGACGCCTATCCATGGTCGCCTGCTGCATCTCGAGTGGATTTTTCGCCAAGAGGCCGAATTTGTTTGACGGTTGTGCTTATCCGTCTCCCTAATCCCGTGACCGCCTAACCCCCAAAGTTGAACTGGTTTCTTACTGAGAACGTCTTAGTTTGATTTATGTAATTTCCCCACACCTTCCTCCTCGCTATCCATTTTTTTTCTGGTTAACGATAGGTCCTTGATCTATGTGTTCGCTTTTTGTTAGTCTTACGGACGTGGAATTCTGGGATGAAGAATAGGAAAAATTGACTCGGATATTCCTCGATAACGGATACCCGAGAGAACTAATACAAAGAAACATACTGGTCATGAATTGGATATGTCTCTTTGCGAACTAGCTCAAAAACTACGGCCAGTATAAAGAAAATGAATTTTAGGTGACCACGAGGGAGAATACAATTCTCTTTACAAGTATACTTACGCAGCATTAAAGGGTAGACAAATTGGATTACTCGAAAGTTTACTGCATAGCATGCGACGTCTGCGAACACAAATATATTGACGAAACTTGGAGAAAAATCACCATATGAATCAAGGAACATCAAAGGCTCTGCAGAAAAATGGATACTGAAAGATCAGATATGGCGGAACACATCGCAGAGACAGGACATGAGATCAATTATAAGGCAACAGAAATCACAAAGAACGGAGGATAAGGGTGGCCGGTGACATTCTTTGGGGAAAAATGTAATGAGCAGGAGATTGAAAGAGGGCGAAGTTAGGGATAACTTTGCATATTGCCTAATCAAACTTGGATAAAACAGGGATGCAACAAGCCAGGCAAAAAGGAAACGCATGGATCAAGGATATACTGTAAACCAGAGGAAAAGGGATCGCAAGGAAGAAGAGATAGGACGTTTCGGAAATAAAGCGAAGACGTTCTCAGTGAGTGTAGTCGGCTCAAATAAATAACTACAACTAGGGGGCAGATGTTTCACGTGACTTTGGAAAGGGATTGGGTCACAGAAATCAGGCATTGTGACCAGATGGGCCAATAATCCACTTGAGATGCAGCAGGCGACCAGAGATAGATGTCTACAGTTTGCTCAGGGTAAACGAGCTTAATCTAGGATATGATGCGTGAAGGTAATGCCTAATATCCGCAAGCATGACAAACAGAGACTAGGCGCTCTGTAGGTAAGGCGACTTTGTACGTGCTACTGAAGTATTGAGAAAGAGCGCCTGGAGTAAAAGTACGCTGGGGCTGGAACTGAGTGAAATCGATCAACCAGAAAGGTAAGAAAAGGACCTAGGGTTCAGGAGGCTAGAGTCGGATCAGCCACTCCAAAAGGAGGGGCACAAGACAAACAGCAACTATGTCGACTCCATGGTATATTCTCAAGAGGGGCACATCTCTTGTGGAATATAAACGTCGGAAGTAGTGATAGGATGAGGGCGAGGCAAGAGGATAGGAAATAGATACAGGGACCAGGACAGAACGAGGAGTGATAGTACAGGCGTTTCGTTGGAGAGTTTGTCAAGGGACTGACTTCATTTGTCTCTGACGTGTCGTAGCTTGGTGCCGAGAATGGCAAGACTACGGTGCCGACAAAACGTCAGCGAATGCATTAAATTCACACTCTGACATTGGGAATTATGATAGCTACTATGGCAGAGGACTTTGGACAAAGTGTATTGAACTAAGTCGCCCTGACACCAAAAACAAGTTGCGAAAACGAGGTTAATCAACTTCTATACATCTAAAGGAGACTGCGACTATATCGAGGGCGACGCCATCTTGGTTTTCATATTTTCTATTAATATTTAAGCTTTTTTATGGGTAGGAATCAGTTTTGTAGGCCTCGTTTTTTTTGCGGGTGCTCCTTTTAATATATTTAGCGATAAGTGATCCATTAATGTATCAATGCAATTTATCGGTACTCTTAGAATTGAGTGAATCTGGTTTTATTATTTCTATTCCTGTGTTACAATCGACTTCACAGCCAGTAAGCCGTAATCTCCCAACATACTGGTAACGCCACTCAGAACCCGACCACTCAAAGTATGC